TTACTATTATGTAAGAAATACATGAGGATCCATTGGTTCATGAGACGTTTGTCATCTTTAATAAAATCAGCCGTCTGATGTCAAAATTGCATGTTTTTACGCTGTAAATCACAGTCCTCTCTGATTCTCAGCCTCAGTCTTACAATCATGTCTTTATAGATGATCTGGTCTGTTTTGTTGTTGTTTTTGTTGTTTTTTTACACATCCATGATGGGAAACGCTCCAGGCCTTCTACAGCGCACAGATAAAGGCTCGCTCTACATTCCCTTGGAATTTGAAGTCATAATCTCAGTTTTCCAGCTGCAGCTGATACTCATCTGGATGTGGAAAACTGCAGATACACATCAAAGAGTTTTTGGTTCGCCCTGAGGAGGTCCAATAAGATCAGCTCCAGAGGTTTGCAGGATAAGGAACTAAATGGGAACTGTGTGACTTATCATCATCAGACTGCTGAAGGACTCACGAGGAAGGGGGATGTGTTTTATTAGAGACGTTTGAATTGACGATAACGACGGAAATGAGCTCTGCTAAAGAAGTTGTTGCTAACTTTTAGAATGGATTGGATTAGCTTGTTTCCCAGATCCTGAACTTGATGAAAATCGCAGAATAAAAACAGGAATGGTTCTTAAATCTCACTATTTATTCTACTTTTTGAAGTGCTATAACTCAAATAACATTAGAAGGATACTTTTTACCCCTACATTTTATAGTGGGATTCTGATCAGTCAGTATCTTACCTGTTCTAGACAGCCATTTGAGGGAACTCTGTTTTGAGAAATACAGTTTAACCCCGACCAGATATACAAGCTAAAGGATGTTTCAACCTCACCACTACTACATTTTGACCCCACGTTCAATTAACTATTTCATCAATTTAGAAGTTATACCCTAATTGTTAATTGACTATAACCTGTTATAGCCAATTAACAATTAAGGTATAACAATTAATGTAAAAATGCTAAGACATCATTGATGTGAACGCTGATCAATTTTTTTCTTGTTTATTTATATTTTCCCCCTGTAGGTTTTTTAAGACTACTTCAGCAAACTTTCAGCTATTTTAACCAATATCATAAGGTTCGGCTTGTTCCTGACACTTTTGCTGTGTCTTTCAATGTTTGTAAACTTTATAAATTCTGAATATTTTCTTCATAGAAACACTTTGACATCTCTTCAAACGTTGGAAAAACTTCTTGCTCTGAAATCTTCAATCATTTGGAGCTTTTATCAGATTAGATGGTTTTAGCTACTGCTTTACAATAGCTACTGCTGTTTTAAACTTTTAGCTACTGTTTTGATAATCAACACAAAGGCGCTAGGTAAAACACCAATGAAGAGGCACCAAGCCAGGGGATATAACACCCCTTTTCCACTACTGCTATTTATTGTAGTGTCGGAACGGGTCAGTTCGAATGCTTTTCCATTGACGTTCCAGTTTGATTCCAGTGGGTGTGTTTTGGGCGGTTGGTGGAGGTGGTTTTGGGGTTTTTCGAGAAAAAAAAAAAGTTAATGCGCAAAATGAGAGATGGAAACACATTTGCCGAATAAGTTCTGAAATTTTAAAAATCCGCTAAAAAAATCAAATTAAAATTGGATGGAAACATGTCTAATGTCACTGCTACAATTGGGAAAATGGCACCTCGAGTTGTTGTTGTAAAGGCAGCTCAGACGCAACCAGTGACGAACAGTGTTCTGATGTCACATTTTGGTGTTGACTGGGACCGCTTGGACCCACAACAAAGTAGGTACTAAAAAAGGGCTGGTTCCATGAATCTGGTCTAATGGAAATGGCTTGGAACTGTATTGAACCGTACCGACACTACACTAAGTAGCACTAGTGGAAAAGGGGCATAAGTAGACCCATACCACCCTGATGCCTCTCACTACGGTGGGCGACTCCAGGGTGGTTTCAGGTCTAGTCCCTCTTAAGGACAATGGTTCCAGAACCAATGCACTGATGTGAGTCTGACTACATCTGGTCAATACCTCTTAATCTCTTGCACAAGCTCAGGCTCTTTCCTCACCAGGGAGGTGACAGTCGTCCCTAGAGCCACTTGTGGTAAACCAAAGCCAGACCGCTAAGGCCACAGACTTCAACTACCACCCATGCTGAAATGTACCCAACCTGTATGGCCCCTCTGTGATGAGCCCACAGGGAGGCAAGCTCATTGGGACTGAGAAGCCCAATGGTGCAATAGGTGCTCACCAAAGAGCCCCTACCTCAGGTCATTCCTCCACCAGCTAAAGAGAGGGGCCCTGACAACCCARGTCTGGGCACCTTGAGACATTAAGCACCTTGTTGTCTTCTGTCTATATTGCTTAAATCGCTCTTTGTCTGATCTGTCACCGAGGACCAACTTTGGGAGACCCTACCAGGGAAAATTTCCCCAAACATCATAGCTCCTAGGATCATCCTGGTACCCCAAAACTCCTCCAACCACAATCTGATGGCTATTCAAAAATGAGTACAGAAAAAAAAAATGGAAACTAAGAATAAAGAAGACATCTAATATTTAGGTTTTAAAAGTTCAGAACTATCCCTTTAAGTATGTAAATATTTTAAGTCCAGCACTTAAAACAGCTGCTTAAACAACCCTCCACCCTGAATGCGTACGCTAAAATCCTCCGGTCAAGAAACTGCTCCATACCTCCACCAAAGTGCCCACTGGGACACGTAGTTTTGTCTCTCTGGTTTTTTTGCCCCACCCAGCAGTGCGTGACGCTCACCTCCTGCTATTAGACACAGCATCAGTGCAGCGTGAAAACATATTTTGAAGTGCTTTGAACATGCCCCCACCCCCAGACTTGGTGACAAATAAAAGCTCGATGTGTAAGTGAGGAGATCATCAGATTGCCGGGAAGCCCGGCTACACCCAGATGTTGTTCTTGCAGATAATAACCAACATAAGGAGCGTTTGTTGCCGCACTTTCTGCAACGTGGGAGAGCGTGGCTTCACTTTTAATTCAAGTTCCCCTCCTCTCCCACACTCAACGGGTCTGCAGAAGCATTCTGGTTTATATGACTCTCTAATGAAGGCCTGATGTCTTCTTGGCTACAAACCCAACACAATCCCATTAAAGCTCCAGCGAGTGGGCACCATCCCTATGTGGGGCTGCTGCTGCTGCTGCTGCTGGCTCAGCAACAAGTCTAAGAGGAGGGGAAGATGGCTAATGGAGACCAGGAGCTAACAGAGTCTGGAGCATCGTTAAATACCCGGCTCTAATCATGTCATGGCTTCAGAAACAGGGTTGCACCATGGCATAGTTCTAGAGAACAAATTTGTTTTTAAATGGCACCAAAGCCCCAAAAAAAAATAAATCATCAATCCAAAAGCTTATGAGGCTTTCAGGATAGCAGCCTCTTTTGAATTAAAAGAGACTCTGAGCCAAAAAATAAAAAATAAAACGATGACAGATTTCCTTCCACTCCATTTCCTCCGGTCCAGAGATGAGCTCAGCGGACAGACTGAGTCATGCCTGAACTGATCAGTTAAATCATGTGAAAAAGACAATATCAAGCAGGTTGATGGGTGACAGGTGAGCTGCAGCTGGGCTTTTTATGGGAAACATGTGGTTCTCATAAAGATAAGAACATACATAAATTATAGACCCAGAACTCTTTGAAGAAATACATATGGCCAGCTGCCTTTCAAGAAAGATTTCCAAGTTATCTTATGCTGGAAAATGATCAAAGTTGTTGCCATTTTGGTCCAATTTTGAAAATACCGTCATGAGTGACTTATTAATTCTCAAACTAAGTGTTGCGAATGACTCTCAGCTACTAACACACCAGATTTTAGCTCAGCATCTATAAAACTGACAGAGTTGCGGCCATTTTTTATGCTGGATAATTTTGATCAGCTGTGGTGGCCAAATGTAATTCCTAAAGTGAATCTGTTGCAGCTGCACATCCAGTCATTACTTCCTGAGACTTTCACTGAAATCTGTCAGGTAGTTCATGATATATTTAGCTAACAGACCAAGAAGGTCAGTACTGATGAGTAGCACTTGGAGTATGTATCATGTACAACTCTCAGCTACTACCAGTCCAAGTTTCAGCCTATTATTTGTAAAAATCTGCTGAATTACAGCCATTTTTTAAAGATCAGTTGGCTGTGGTGACCAACTGAAATCGTGTTGCCTCCAAATGTTCTTTAGTAGAAGATCCAACGATTGTTTATTGAAAGTTTGATTAAAATCTATCCAGGGGTTATGAGATATTTTGCTAACAGAAAAGACACAACTGACAGCATTTGGTTCATGGCGACATATGACATAAAGGTCTTGCATAAACATTAGTGCWCAGACTAGCTGTTGTGGATCAGTCTCAGCTACCACTGTCCCAAGTTTTGATTTGATATTTTTAAAATTGATCAAATTACAGCCATTTTTGCGTTAGCTAAGGTTGATTAGCTGGSTTGGACATCTTGAATTGGGTCGGCTCCAGAAGTTAAAAATGTTTAAATGAACATTCTGTTATTAAACCCTGTAAATCGTGTTAAAATTCATCACGTGGTTCATGAGATATTTTCCTAACAGATAGACACAGTTGACGCGTATAGAATGGCGACATTATGACATAAAGCTCTAGTACAATCCAATGTTGCTCTGAAAAACTTTGGAGATCAGTCTCATCTACATCCTACAAAATTTTATCTCAATATCTATAAAATTGACCAAGTTATTGCCATTTTTGTTTTAGCTACATTTAATTAGCTGTGGCGGCCATCTTGAATTGGGTCAACTCCAGAAGGTAATCAGGTTTAGATGTACATCCTGTTAATAAATCCAGTAAGTTTCATTAAAAAAATTGTCCCGTGGTTTATGAGATATTTTGCTAACAGMCAGAAATGAGGAAAACATTATGGTTCCTATAAATTTGCAAACATAAACAGGATGTTTGATCTTCAATATGACYATATAAGGAGCTTAAACACACTTCCTGTAATTTTCTGGGATTTTAGAGTAAAGTGGTGGACCCAAAGAGGCCCGTGTCCCACCTCTTGACCCGGATGATCTGGTCCCTCATGGGCTTGATGTCCTGGAAGCTCTGCTGGTTCACCAGGCTGTAGACCAGGATGAAGCCCTGGCCGTTCCGGATATAAAGGTCCCTCATGGAGGCGAACTGCTCGGTGCCCGCCGTGTCCAGGATCTCCAGCACCGACGGAGAGGAGTCCACCTCGATCTCCTTCCGGTAGAAGTCCTCGATGGTGGGGTCATATTTTTCGATGAACGTGCCGGTGACGAACTGAACCGTCAGCGCCGACTTGCCCACCCCGCCGCTGCCCAGGACCACCACCTTGTACTCCCGCATCGTGGAGTCAGAGCCGACGCGCAGGGATTAGAGAAGTCCTCCGCATCCCCGCGCGCGCACAGGAGGAGCCTGGACCCGGACTGCGGCCAGTCCAGCCTCCGGTAYCCCTGGACTCCCCTCTCAGCCGCGGGCGGCCCGGTGGATGCTGGAGCTGCTACTGAGATATTCCCACGCTATCTTGAAGGGACACCATTCCACAGGCATCCATAATGCAAGAAGGCGGCGGCAGCGGTGTGGGAAAAACACGACCTGCTATTATTAGAAACACCTTCACGGAGCATGTTTTATAAAAAACGGAAGGCTAACAACATGTCTCCGCGCCGACAGACGGGTTCAGTCGAGTTAAAGGCACAAAAGAGCTGATTTCACCTTAAGAAGACGGCGGAGATGAGGGGAATCCACGCCTCTGGAGTCAGCGCATCCACCGGAGTGGTATGGAAGGCGATCAGTGCCACAAAAAGAAGGCTGAGGCCAGGCGCGAAAATAACACGACACACAAATATAACAGTGCTACATGGTAAATTAGGGCCAGACTATAATAATTAATTATCACCAGAATAAAGTCATATTACCAGAAAAAAATATCAAAAATAATATGAGAATAAAACCAATAGACCTAGAATAAAGTCACATTACC